TCATCCTGTTTCTAATAGGTCAACTACATACATCCGATATCTGTTTAAGGATTTCTTATTATGTTCGTTCGAAACCGGATATCTTATAGAGCGGAACCTCGTTAATCCAGACGGTAATATTTCAAATAAATTCGTCTTTACAAATGTTCGGATGGACAGGTCTTGGTTTCTGAATAATATTATTTTTTACACCAGGCAAATGATTCTATATATTAAAAGCAGGAACTGATAAATAAAATTAGAAACGTTATCAAAACGTCACTAGACAGCAAACAGTCACCGACATAATACTCACGTAAGGTCCATAACACAACGGAGATACCGGATCAAATGCATCACCATTCTCGCTTGCTTTCTTTTTAACCACTATCAAACGTGGGGTAAACTTTCTTTTGTCGTCAGATTAGATAGTTAGATTTCAGCAAAACATTTTCAATACCCATTCCAATGATTCGAGTGAGTGAGTGAGTTTAGTTTTACGCCGCACTCAGCAATATTCCAGCTATACGGCGGCGGTCTATAAATAATCGAGTCTATAATAACATATAAATAATCTAGTGATCAACAGCAGGAGCATCGATCTGCGCAATTGGGAACCGATGACATGTGTCAACCAAGTCAGCGAGCCTGACTACCCGATCCCGTTAGTCGCCTCTTACGTGGTGGTGGTGGTGGTGAAGTTTAAGGGAGACATAAACCCCAAATAGGGTCTATTTGCGCCCTTTAAGGGATGAGGCTGATATTTTTAGAGTTATTTCTCCTACAATGAGACAATGCATCTCATAGCACACAAAATACTTATTCAGAATCCAAATTCATTCACAGTAAATGTTCCGTAGATTGTGTAAGTTCAGTTTTACGCCACACTCAGCAATATTCCAGCTATATGGTGGCAGTCTGTAAATAATCGAGTCTGGACCAGACAATCCAGTGATAACAGCATGAGCAGCGATCTACGCAACTGGGATACGATGACATGTGTCAACCAAGTCAGCGAGCCTGACTACCCGATCCCGTTAGTCGCCTCTTACGACAAGCATAGGTTGCTGAAGATCAATTCTAACCCGGACCTTCACGGGTCTCCAATGATTCGAAGTAGATCATAATGAATGTAATTGAATCTGCTAAAGCGCTGTGAAAGTGTCCCGTTAAATGGAACTTTTAAGGGGGTTTACACATTAATTGTTTCAGTTTAAGTTGTTTAAGATTATTTCACTTATTCAGATTATCTCGGTTCCTCATATTCTTTTTAAATTCTAAAATGAAATTTGTTTTATAACTATAACCTCTTAATTTATAATATAAACATATCTGAAATACACTCTTCAAAAAACAACCGCACAGGCGTTTTCAGCAGTTCATTTTGACATATTTTGACAGCAATCGTCATTTAGACAATTCCTATGTTCGAATCCCGTTAAACATGCCGTGGTTGTTGTGTACTGCGCGCAAACGCATCCAAAAATGTGTTTGTAAACGTTTGTCATTAAAATGAAAACGATACATGCAGAAGTGTTTTTTCGAAGGTAAAAGAAGAGATAACATGCTAAGATTGCTACTGACCGAAATATCGCCATTGGACGTTTGGAAGCAGGGGAGTCCCATGGTGCAGTCTGCCCTTGCAAGACACTTCAACGTCTACCAATGCACCATACCTCGATCCCAGATGAGGAAGGCCAAGAGTCAACACTCCTGCTCAGGACTGATTCGTCCAGATGTTTCACCGACGTCGCCGATTTGCTACAGCAACGGACACTGCAGGACAGGTGCCTGGTTTTCGAAGAATGTCCGATCAAACCATCAGAAATCGTCTGGGAGAAGTTGGAATTCGAGCATATCGATCAAAAGTTGGACCTGTCCTGACACGACTACACCGACAACGACGTGTCCAATGGTGCAACAGGGGACAGGTATGGGACCTGAGGGAACTGGCGACGCCCTTGATTCAGCGATGACTAGCGTTTCCTCTTGCAACGACAGGATGGGAGACAACGTTTCTGTCGACGTTGACACGAACGTTTTGCGCCGAACTGCGTTCGACAGGTGGACAGATTTTGTGGAGTGAGCGTTATGGTGTGGGTAGCCATGTCCTACACGGGTAGATCACAGCTAGTGGTGGTTCAAGGCAATCTTACAACAAATCGCTACATCGACCAAATCCTGCGACCGTACCTCCTCCCACTTTTTAACCGCCAGAGGGAGCTGTTTCAACTCGACACCACAGTAACAGGTAACAGGTGCCTATCCCGCCAATGTAAGCGCCAGTGTCTTTCCCTGGCCTTCCAAATCGCCTGATCTGAACCCGATCGAGCATCTATGGGACGAACTTAAAACGGTTGATAGGAAGGTCGACCCAGATATATTAACGCCTTAAGTTTGTCTAACTCAGTCCCTTCTTCAATCAGGTTATACTATGTCAACAAATACATCTTTGTATATTCATTACGACTGTTTATATCGAATGTTATAACATATTTCAATGACGAATGACAAATGAAAACTCACCAGCAACCGGACTTGGTGGTAGGCCAAAGGATGTTTTGAAGATTTTAGTTGGGTCATAGCCATACATCCTAACACGCTGCCCGAGTCTGATAATTAATGCTCTTTCAGCGTGGCTATACTGTAGATACAGTGGTGTATGTGTACTCGTTTGGGCAGTGTTTTGTTTTTGTGTCCGTTCGTTTATTGTTTAAATCCACCTGATCGAGGACCGCCTCCGTGGTGTAGTGGTTAGAGCGTCCGCCCGGAGAGCGGAAGGTCGCGGGTTCGATCCCCGACCGCATCATACCAAAAGACGTTAACATATGGTACTTGTTGGTCCCTGTCTGGCGCTCGGCATTAATGGGTACAACAAGGACTGGTCGGCTCGGAGTCAGTATAATGTGTCTGAGATGGGTATTCATGCTTCACTGCGGCATGTTATCTCAGTGAGCTAGCACTATAAAACCAGCTTCAATCTGGGCTAGTACAAGCAGCCGCACATACACATACACACGCATGCACGTCGTCATATGAGCGAAATATTCTCAAGCACGACGTAAAACCCAATTTCACCTCACCTCACATGATCGAGACATACGACGGCGACTTTTAACAAATCACGTGTGTGAGTGAGTGAGTATGGTTTTACTTTTAGCAATATTCCAGCAATATCACGACGGGGGACACCAGAAATGGGCTTCACACATTGTATCCATGTTGGGAATCGAATTCGGGTCTTCGGCGTGACGAGCAAACGCTTTAACCTTCAGGATACCCAACCGTCAATAAAACAATCACGACAAACAAGTTGATATTATGACCCACAGACTGTTTGTGACAAACCTAGCCACCCAATCAGGTGATCCGTGTCAACGATTTTCCTTTAATAGCTTGCTGGCGACAAGTTATCACGCGAGGATACCCATTCAACCTTTATGATTAAGTTCCAAAACAGTTCAGCGAGCTTTCAGTGATATTTCGTTGTCGCTTTGTACCAGTTAACAAATTCATAGAATGTTTGATGTATTCACAAGGAAGTGTTAATCTCCTGACATTCAGTTTGTATGTTCCATTCATACTCACCGTATTTGACATCATCATGACAAGAGGCGGTGGGGTAGCCTAGTGGTTAAAGCGTTGGCTCGTCACGCCGAAGACAAGGGTTCGAATCCCCACATGGGTACAATGTGTGAAACCCATTTCTGGTGTCCCCCGCCGTGATGTTGCTGGAATATTTCTAAAAGCGGCGTAAAACGAAAACTCAGTCAGTCACTCAGTCATCATGACAAACTGAAAAGGTGGGTGGGAGAGTGAGTGAGTGGGAGAGTGAGTGGGCGAGTGAGTTGGGCGAGTAAGGGGGAGAGTGAGAGAGTAAATGAACGACTCAAATACATTGATACAATCTGTTATTTGTGAAATATGTGTAGGATCTTCACTAGATTGTCATATTGCTCGTTCGTCTCGCTGAAGACCTGGGTTCGATTCCCCACCTAGTTACAATGTGTGAAGCCCATCTGTAGTCCAAGACACCCTCCCATCACTCCCCCACCCTCCGTGAACACCCGTGAAGATCCGGGTTAGAAGTGATCTTCAGCAACCTATGCTTATCGTAAGACTGACTGACTGACTGTGTTTGGTTTTACGCCGCTTTTAGCAATATTCCAGCAACATCACGGCGGGGGACACCAGAAATGGGCTTCACACATTGTACCCATGTGGGGATTCGAACCCGGGTCTTCGGCGTGACGAGCCAACGCTTTAACCACTAGGCCACCCCACCGCCCCCCTATCGATAGAGGCGACTAACGGAATGGGGTTGTCAGGCTCACTGACTTGGTTAACACATTTCATCGTATCCCAGTTGTGTAGATCGATGCTGATGCCGGTAGATCAGTGGATTATTTACAAACCAACCAACCACCCAAAGTGAAACGTGAAAGCTTTGGGGCAGCGAGTTATTGCTGGATATCAGGGCTACGTAAGTGTTTATTTCGATGGATGGACTGATTGAAGAAACAAATGTTAACTCAGGCGCCAGAATATCTTTTCCTGAACTTGCTTGTACCTTTTCCCAGTCCCTTTTGCAAAATAATGCTTCTTCAGCTTTCGAACTTTTGTGATACCAATTTTTGTATACAACTGCCTTTTGAAACAGGTCTGTGATAATAAATGTTGCCATTTTTCATGTCATTACTATTCCAGATCAGCATTCAGTCCAAAGAGACGCCGGTGGACACTGAACACGTGAAAACCGAAGAACCAACCATAACCAAGTTTTCGGATTCGATCTGGGACCGCGTATCTGGATCACATAAAGGGACGCAGCTCTGAATGTATATTTGTAATAGATACTTTAAACTTAATGCCCGATTATAAAGATAAATGATGTCAATACCACAAATACAGTTTTAATTGTTCACGAAAGCGGAAGTAGGACAAGAAGTATTAATAGACCATGTAACCGCTGGTAATGGAGTATGTTGGCAATATCAATGCAAACACAACATCTAAATGCTGTGTTAACGGTCCAACAAGGAAAACTCTTCTGTGTATCAGGCTTATGGTTGCGTGTTGAAAGCGTATCTACATAAAGAGAGTTATCTTGCTGCATGTAGCCTGTGCGATAAGCCCGAGCATAATGGTGGATACATATGAACAGACAAGGAAAGTTTGCCTGCAGAAGTGAAAACTACCCTTGCTGGAATTAAGCTGGAAAATGGAACTCAGAATCGGTCATAGGGTGGGATATACGGAACGAACTGCATGAGACTGGAAAATGACGGCGTCCATGGTGTTTTGTTTGGGGTTCATTCTCGTGTGTCAAGTTGCAGTTTACGGTAAGTCGAAGTGTAAAGCGAATGTCTAATCAGAACAAAGCAACACTCCGCGAACATTTGCACCCACACTTTTATAAGGAAACATATGCTTATGTTTACAATTAGCATTCAGTATACTACGCTATACAGGACACGCTTGTAACGAGCTACTGGGTGTAACGAACTGTGTTTGGTCTCGACCACTTGCTGTATATTCTAGGTGGCTAAACGTTGCTTACCGTTAAATGTCTGGTGTGACCTCGAGGTTATCAGGTGGTCCAAATGGTGGAAGGGGCAGTGGTTAAAGCGTTCGTCGTCACGCCGAAAACCCAGGTTCGATTCCCCACATGGTCAAAATGCGCTACAGTTTTGTCTGGCGATGGTCCAGTGTCACCTCGGGTGTGACCTTGAGGTGGTCAAGTGGTGTCTCGGTGGCGCTGCAGTTTTGTCTGGCGATGGTCCAGTGTCACCTCGGGTGTGACCTTGAGGTGGTCTAGTGGTGTCTCGGTGGCGCTGCAGTTTTGTATAGCAATGGTCCAGTGTCACCTCGGGTGTGACCTTGAGGTTGTCAAGTGGTGTCTCGGTGGCGCTGCAGTTTTGTCTGGCGATGGTCCAGTGTCACCTCGGGTGTGACCTTGAGGTGGTCCAGTGGTATCTCGGTGGTGCTCCAATGTCGTATAGCGATGGTCCAGTGTCACCTCGGTTGTGACCTTGAGGTGGTCTAGTGTTATCTCGGTGGTGCTCCAATGTTGTATAGCGATGGTCCAGTGTCACCTCGGGCGTGACCTTGAGGTGGTCCAGTGGTATCTCGGTGGTGCTCCAATGTTGTATGGCGATGGTCCAGTGTCACCTCGGGCGTGACCTTGAGGTGGTCCAGTGGTATCTCGGTGGTGCTCCAATGTTGTATAGCGATGGTCCAGTGTCACCTCGGGTGTGACCTAGAGGTGGTCTAGTGGTATCTCGGTGGTGCTCCAATGTTGTATAGCGATGGTCCAGTGTCACCTCGGGTGTTACCTTGAGGTGGTACAGTGGTATCTCGGTGGTGCTCCAATGTTGTATAGCGATGGTCCAGTGTCACCTCGGGTGTGACCTTGAGGTGGTCCAGTGGTATCTCGGTGGTGCTCCAATGTCGTAAAGCGATGGTCCAGTGTCACCTCGGGTGTGACCTAGAGGTGGTCTAGTGGTGTCTCGGTGGTGCTCCAATGTTGTATAGCGATGGTCCAGTGTCACCTCGGGTGTGACCTAGAGGTGGTCCAGTGGTATCTCGGTGGTGCTCCAATGTTGTATAGCGATGGTCCAGTGTCACCTCGGGTGTGACCTAGAGGTGGTCTAGTGGTGTCTCGGTGGTGCTCCAATGTTGTATAGCGATGGTCCAGTGTCACCTCGGGTGTGACCTCGAGGTGGTCCAGTGGTATCTCGGTGGTGCTCCAATGTTGTATAGCGATGGTCCAGTGTCACCTCGGGTGTGACCTTGAGGTGACCTAGTGGTGTCTCGGTGGTGCTACAGTTTTGTATAGCAATGGTCCAGTGTCACCTCGGGTATGACCTTGAGGTGGTCAGGTGGTGTCTCGGTGGTGCTGCAGTTTTGTATAATAATGGTCCAGTGTCACCTCGGGTGTGACCTTGAGGTGGTCCAGTGGTGTTTCGGTGGCGCTGCAGTTTTGTATAGTAATGGTCCAGTATCACCTCGGGCGTGACCTAGAGGTGGTCAAGTGGTGTCACGGTGGTGCTACAGTTTTGTATAACAATGGTCCAGTGTCACCTCGGGCGTGACCTTGAGGTGGTCTAGTGGTGTCTCGGTGGTGCTCCAATGTTGTATGGCGATGGTCCTGTGTCACCTCGGGTGTGACCTCGAGGTGGTCTAGTGGTGTCACGGTGATGCTACAGTTTTGTATAACAATGGTCCAGTGTCACCTCGGGCGTGACCTTGAGGTGGTCTAGTGGTGTCTCGGTGGTGCTCCAATGTTGTATGGTGACGGTCCAGTGTAACAAGACCTTGAGGTGGCCTAGTGGTGTCACGATGGTGCTACAGTTTTGTATAGCAATGGTCCAGTGTCACCTCGGGCGTGACCTTGAGGTGGTCTAGTGGTGTCTCGGTGGTGCTCCAATGTTGTATGGCGACGGTCCAGTGTAACAAGACCTTGAGGTGGCCTAGTGGTGTCACGATGGTGCTACAGTTTTTGTATAGCAATGGTCCAGTGTCACCTCGGGCGTGACCTTTGAGGTGGTCTAGTGGTGTCTTGGTGGTGCTCCAATGTTGTATAGCGATGGTCCTGTGTCACCTCGGGTGTGACCTCGAGGTGGTCTTGTGGTGTCACGGTGATGCTGCAGTTTTGTATAATAATGGTCCAGTGTCACCTCGGGCGTGACCTTGAAGTGACCTAGTGGTGTCTCGGTGGTGCTACAGTTTTGTATAATAATGGTCCAGTGTCACCTTGGGCGTGACCTTGAGGTGGTCTAGTGGTGTCTCGGTGGTGCTCCACTGTTGTATGGCGATGGTCCTGTGTCACCTCGGGTGTGACCTCGAGGTGGTCTAGTGGTGTCACGGTGATGCTACAGTTTTGTATAACAATGGTCCAGTGTCACCTCGGGCGTGACCTTGAGGTGGTCTAGTGGAATCTCGGTGGTGCTCCAATGTTGTATGGCGACGGTCCAGTGTAACAAGACCTTGAGGTGGCCTAGTGGTGTCACGATGGTGCTACAGTTTTGTATAGCAATGGTCCAGTGTCACCTCGGGCGTGACCTTGAGGTGGTCTAGTGGTGTCTCGGTGGTGCTCCAATGTTGTATGGCGACGGTCCAGTGTAACAAGACCTTGAGGTGGCCTAGTGGTGTCACGATGGTGCTACAGTTTTGTATAGCAATGGTCCAGTGTCACCTCGGGCGTGACCTTGAGGTGGTCTAGTGGTGTCTCGGTGGTGCTCCAATGTTGTATAGCGATGGTCCTGTGTCACCTCGGGTGTGACCTCGAGGTGGTCTTGTGGTGTCACGGTGATGCTGCAGTTTTGTATAATAATGGTCCAGTGTCACCTCGGGCGTGACCTTGAAGTGACCTAGTGGTGTCTCGGTGGTGCTACAGTTTTGTATAATAATGGTCCAGTGTCACCTTGGGCGTGACCTTGAGGTGGTCTAGTGGTGTCTCGGTGGTGCTCCAATGTTGTATGGCGATGGTCCAGTGCTACAAGACCTTGAGGTGGCCTCGTGGTGTCACGATGGTGCTACAGTTTTGTATAGCAATGGTCCAGTGTCACCTCGGGCGTGACCTAGAGGTGGTCTACTGGTGTCTCGGTGGTGCTCCAATGTTGTATAGCGATGGTCCAGTGTTACCTCGAGTGTGACCTTGAAGCGGTCTAGTGGTATCTCGGTGGCGCTGCAGTTTTGTATAGCAATGGTCCAGTGTCACCTCGGGTGTGACCTTGAGGTTGTCAAGTGGTGTCTCGGTGGCGCTGCAGTTTTGTCTGGCGATGGTCCAGTGTCACCTCGGGTGTGACCTTGAGGTGGTCCAGTGGTATCTCGGTGGTGCTCCAATGTCGTATAGCGATGGTCCAGTGTCACCTCGGTTGTGACCTTGAGGTGGTCCAGTGGTATCTCGGTGGTGCCTCAATGTTGTATAGCGATGGTCCAGTGTCACCTCGGGTGTGACCTAGAGGTGGTCCAGTGGTATCTCGGTGGTGCTCCAATGTTGTATAGCGATGGTCCAGTGTTACCTCGGGTGTGACCTTGAGGTGGTCCAGTGGTATCTCGGTGGTGCTCCAATGTTGTATAGCGATGGTCCAGTGTCACCTCGGGTAGTGACCTAGAGGTGGTCCAGTGGTATCTCGGTGGTGCTCCAATGTTGTATAGCGATGGTCCAGTGTCACCTCAGGTGTGACCTTTATAGCGATGGTCCAGTGGTATCTCGGCGGTGCTCCAATGTTGTATAGCGATGGTCCAGTGTCACCTCGGGTGTGACCCCAGAGGTGGTCCAGGTATCCGGTAGCTCCCACGTTGTATAATAGCATGGTCTCGGTGGTGCTGAGGTGGTCCAATGTTGTATAGCGCAATGGTCCAGTGCGTACTCGGGCGTGACCTTGAGGTGACCTAATTTGTGTCTCTGGTGGTGCTAAGCAGCCTTTGTATAGCGATGGTCCAGTGTCACCTCGGGGTGACCTTGAGGTGGCCTAGTGGTGTCTCGGTGGTGCTACAGTTTTTGTATAGCAATGGTCCAGTGTCTCAGTGGCCTGAGGTGGTCTAGTGGTGTTTCGGTGGTGCTGCAGTTTGTGCAGTAATGGTCCAGTGTCACCTCGGGTGTGACCTTGGGGAGTGGTCAAGTAGTATGTTTCGGTGGCGCTGCAGTTTTGTATAGCGATGGTCCAGTGTCACCTCGGGCGTGACCTAGAGGTGGTCTAGTGGTGTCTCGGTGGTGCTGCAGTTTTGTATAACAATGGTCCAGTGTCACCTCGGGCGTGACCTTGAGGTGACCTAGTGGTGTCTCGGTGGTGCTACAGTTTTGTATAATAATGGTCCAGTGTCACCTCGGGTGTGACCTAGAGGTGACCTAGTGGTGTCTCGGTGGTGCTCCAATGTTGTATGGCGTGGTGTAACAACACATCTCATGAGGTGGCCTAGTGGTGCTGAAGCGCTTTGTGCTAACAATGGTCCAGTAAGTCACCTCGAAGACGCTGATGAAGAGGTAGTCAGGTGGTGTCTCGGTGGTGCTGCAATGTTGTATACCGATGGTCCTGTGTGACCTCGGGTGTGACCTCGAGGTGGTCTAGTGGTATCTCGGTGATGCTGCAGTTTTGTATAATAATGGTCCAGTGTCACCTCGGGGTGACTGAAGTGACCTAGTCAAGTGGTGTCTCGGTGGTGCTACAGTTTTGTATAATAATGGTCCAGTGTCACCTTGGGCGTGACCTAGAGGTGGTCTAGTGGTGTCTCGGTGGTGCTCCAATGTTGTATAGCGATGGTCCAGTGTTACCTCGGGTGTGACCTGAGGCGGTCTAGTGGTATCTCGGTGGCGCTGCAGTTTTGTATAGCAATG